GAAAGATTATTCTTGTATTGCTTGAATGTGAATATGCACAGAGGAATTGAGTATTTCAAATCTGCATAACCCTTGTCAGGGTTACTGAAAGTCTGAGTGCTGCCAGTAACAAGCTGCAGTGCTGGCAGCTGCCAGTTTTGGAGTATGACAGAAACACTTGTTTGTTCCAACAGAATTAATGTTCTGCTTCAGACTGTCTTCTGTGAACACCGTCAGGGAATCTTGATTTTAGGTGATAAACGGCTTCCTGAACCTTTTTGTTGAATTAGTTTTGTTTCCATTGCTCAGCATTTCACTGGGTGAGGAACTGGAATGCAAATGTTGATTATGCTCCTCTTCTACAGCAAGTGTATCACAGAGTAAGATTTGAAGCTGTGGAGGGCTGTAAACCTATAATGTCCTAGCAGGCACAAAGCAGAGTCTGAAAGATGCTTTGAACTTTGATGGAACTGTAACACGTTCTGTAGAATTATGTTGGGAAGCAAATGTTAGGTCTCTGATGCTAAAATGGTAAAAATGAACTTCATGCACAGTCCTTAAAAGTGGAGAACAGAGGGTTTGAAAGAGTAAACTGTCTTTAAACAAAGTTGAAGATAAGGCCTCTGCTGTGACCTTGCTACTCTGTGTTTTCCAGTAGGAGTTTATAGCTTCAGGGATGCGTTTCCTTGAGAGCTTAGAATCCCAGGGAAAGAGGCACCCATGGGAACATTATAAAACTTTGCATGGAAAAGGAGATGTGAAACAGAACTGGCAGAAGAAAGAAAGAAGTGATCTAGCATTTATCTAATTGTCCTTTTAATTTTAGCCATTCTTTGATACTGCTACCTGTGAGTATTACTTATTCAGTGGGTGGTGAATTTCTTTCAGTCTCCAAACACATAAAACCTCTGGGGTGGATGGAGAACCAGGATAGGGAGCTGTGGAAGGTAACAGAGCAAAAACCATCTGTTAGTCAATGCTGCTGTGCAGCACCTCCAGATGAGAATTTTTTAGATGATACAAAAACCTAAAAGTGGTGAAAAACAACCCTCTAAGATCACTGAGTTGCCTGTGGTTAAACTGTTCAGAAAGTTAAATATATAAGAACATATTTTAATAATTATTTTTAGATGTTTCAGTGTGGGGGTTTACTATTTGAGGTTGGCAGCCAAGTATGTGGTCTGAATTGCAACTGGATCCCCACAAAATGTGTATTGGTACTGAAGGACCAGGGGACTTTATGCTCTGGCAGTTCAGTAGCTCTTGTTTTAAGAAGTTTCTCATTTGCCTCACAGAAACTGAGGTTTGGGTAGATAAAATACTTACTGATTTCACTGTGTGATCTGATCTTTATTACATTAAAGATCAGACCAAGCAGCGAGGCTGAATTTCTGCTACTTGTGACATATCTAAATTTTTCAGTGTGACATTGAATGGGGGTTGCATTGGGACAGTATTCTGACTCCTCTTACAGGAAATGGTTAAAAAGGAATTTCTGCACATCTGAAAAACTAGTCAGAAGAGAAGAGTTTGTTGTTTTGTCTCGCCTGCCTGATTGTGGATTAGGCTTTGGGCTGTCTGCTTTAAATATCAGAAGAGACGAGTTCCCTTTGTACAGGCAGAAGACAAAAAGTCTCAACACTGCAAAAGCTGGTCAACTGATAGAAACTCAACTTGTGGGTATTCTCTTCATAGCTTTTGTGTTCTAGCATGCAAAATTTAAATCAAAACTTACGTTTTTGATAAGCAGTACTATTCTGTTTATTAGCTATAATGTCAATGTATGTTTGTTATATCAAGTTTTGTTAATACATTTGGGATTGGTAATTTGTCTAAAGCAAGCTCTCAATTTCAATTTTCTTTCTAGAAAATGCAGAATAACTGATGCTGAGGAGTGAGACTGAGATGCAAAGTATTCAAAAGTCTGGAAATGCCAAAAGTTACATATGCTGTGGCATTTTACTTTTTTTTTAATTATTATAATTTTTAATTGATTTGTTTATGCTTATTGCTGATTGAAATAGTTGGAGGTTGGGTTCCTGGACTGAGGGGGCAGAGTTATTTGCTGGAAAATACAGACTCCCAGCAAAAAGAAAGCCCATGATCAGGGCACACATTTTGTCCTGCTGTAAGTCTGTTGGTATTGCATAGAAAGGCTTTATGTAGAGGACAGTGGAGAAATGAGCCAGTTCATTCTGTTCCACAAGAAACCACTTTTAGTATGGTCCTGTAGGACTTAGATTTGCAGGGCTGGTGAAAGATGACAGCATTGTGAACAGGATGGGTTTCTGTGATTAAAGTGCTGTAGCTAACTGCACAAAGTAATGTGTTCTGTACCACAGGGAGCATACAGAGCCTGGCTGTAAGTGTAATTAATGTTCATTTTTAACTATGATGTATACAAACAGGTTTCATTCCAAGTTTTCTTATATACTTTGTGAAACACTCATGTAAAGGTATGTTAGATTCTTACATCCAAGGGAGCAAATGTTCTTTAAATGTGTCTGAATGAAACCTCTACATTCAAATGCTTTCATAAATTAATTATGTAAACTGTAAATTCCTCAGTTCTAAATTGCTTTTGCTACAGCTAGTATTTAAGTGCAAAAATACTGAAAAGTATTGCAAAACCAGTCTTTTGTCAAAGATTGCAAAGGAGATGGGACTGTTTCACCAGTTCTGGTGCATTAATGCACATTATAAGCTTTGTTCCTCCTGCCTCTTGTAAAAACAACTCCATGAACTAATTTGAATTAGAGTATGCCATTTGAAAATGAAGAGATCTCCTCATGCTAATGAATCTACCAAATCCACATCCTTGCTCTGGGTGAGGCGGTGTTCTAGCTCCACAAAGAATAGATCTCTTGCCTTGGGTAATGTATCATCCTTAAACCTTTAAGCACATATGAAGGTTTTTATTTTAAGTGCTGTCAGAGTTCCTCCTAATAGTTTGGTGCCTTTAAAGCAAACCTCAGTAAGCAGAAGTCCTAGAAGTTGAAATTTAAGTGCCATGCCTCAGCATGAAGGCACTGTGGAAAAATAAATGCACCCTTTTTTAGTCTGAACTTTGCCTTGACTTTTTTTTCTAAACATTCTTTGAGGAACTCTGCTCCCTAATTTTCTCTTTGCCTACTTCCTAATATCAGAAGATAACTCCCCTTGTTAGTGGGGAAAAAATTGTTTCTGTAAACTGCTGGTTGTTTTGGGTCACAGTAATGAGGGCAAACAGCAACTTCAGCGATTTAGCTATTGAACCATTGCTAGAAATAGCTAATAAAAATATTTTCAAGGTAACTTTTCTTTAATTTCATTACTCTTAAAAAGGAAAAAGACATTCAGTAATATTCATGGTGGGTATCTTGAATTTTCTGCTGTGTTTTGGTCAGTACACAGTGCTCAGTGCAGTTTCTTAACAGGCACAGAAGGATGGTACTTTGTAATGTGCAGTTGCTGGAGTTTGGGTAGATTTTGTTAATTTCTCTAAGAAAAGGTAAAACAAATAATTGTATACACAAATAAAATATCTCCTAAACTACAAGTTAGCAGAAAGCTTTTGACTCAAAGCTTTGAACAGTGGTAAAGGCTGCTTAAACTTGCGGAGTTTAGTGGTGTTTTGGCAGCACAAGGTGAAGTTGTTGCATTGGAAGAAATTTAGCTTGACTTTTCTACTTCTCTTTCCCCAAGAGAGTGGTGTAACTGTCCTGCAGAGAATGTTTTTCTGGAAGTGACACTGCTTGCTGGTTTTGTGCTTATTTGTGTTATGGACATGAAATGTTCAACATGTTCATTAAATTGTTCTGGGAAAGTGATGGTGATGTTGGATTGCATTTATGGCAGTTTCTGTATCTACTAAAACTGAATGGTATTTCATGTTGTGTGAGAAAGATAAGAGGGCAGTTCTGTGTCCTGGCAAGATTCCCCTTTTCAAACATCCAAGGCAATTCTAAGCCAAACTGTGGAGCTGTGAACTTCTCAGAGGAAGCTCCTGAGCACTCCTTGCTGAGCAGCCTAAACAGTGCTTTCTTGTCACCTCACCCTTGGCAGTGTTAGGATTTGCTGAAGGTTTTAGAGTTGGTTTTGTACTTTGAATGCTTTTTTACATCGAGTATTTTGAATTTCAGTTAAATTTTGAGTATTTCCAAAGTTGAGAGATTCTCCAACTTCCCTGGGCAATTTGTTGCATTGTTTCACCACCCTTGTTGTGATGAAAATGTCTCTAATTCCCTAAAAATGTTATTTGTGTCTTTTTTTCTGTCTTACATATCAAAGAAATAGTGTAACATAATTAGAAAATAATTACAGGCATGGCCATCTTTATATCACTTGAAATGTAATCTCTAATTTGAAACCTGAAGAAAGATCTTCCATTGTGCTTTGGATACTTGAATGGTTTTTAAAAGGTTTTTTTTAAAAAAAATAATTAGCATGGAAGACCTGTTTAAATACAGTGACATTCTTCTGTTTAATAGAAAATGCTAGTAAAATAAGGTTGCCCTTTTTTATGAGTATTCATTCTTGGAAGGTTTGTTTTTCTGTTCTCAGAGTATTAGGCTTTTGTAACGTTCTATCTTCAGGAGCATTTTCCCATATCCCAAGGTTTATTTAAATTACTGTTCAGAATATTTGATGGTTTGATTAATTGAGAAAAGGGAATTATGCAGGTTAACTTGATTTTATAGAAGAATGTTTGGTTTATAGATTCACAGGCTCACTTCTGGTAGAAGAATATAGTTTCTGTAAATATGTGGCAAAATCATGGGAGGTTTGCAGAAGCCCTTAACCTCTTGAACTTTCCCATGTCATTCCATGAACTCTGAATCTATGGCACTGTTCAAATCAGGAAATGTTTAAAAATGAAAAGCCAAAACCCTAGGCTGCTAGATTTTGTATATAGAACATCTGTGGATTTTGCAGTTTAATAATCATCCTAATCCTGGTAACATAAGCAGGCTATTGTAAACACTCATTAATTTATATAAAGTAGCATATGATTTCAGTAGTTTGTTTTCTTGTTATTTCAGCTTTATGACAAAATAAACACAAAATCTTCACCACAAATCAGGAATCCTCCAAGTGATGCTGTACAGAGAGCCAAAGAGGTAATGGCTTTAAAGTATGTTTTTTCTTACTTTGAAAGGTTGATTGTATTTAAACATAACTTACTTTTGTTCATTAAGATGTGTATTCTGGCTCATTATCTGAATTACTTCTGGAATGCTACCATTGCTTATTCAAGTTATATAACAAGTTGCATAAACTTGCAGAATTCCATTATCTGTGTAAGGATTTTAAATATTACTCAGTGTAATCATTTAACCTTTTCTTCAACAATAGTGGTGTTAAAAGGAACACTCCTGCTGGGTAATTGCAGTATCTTTCCTGTTCAGGTTATTTATCTGCAGCAGAAATCTGATGCTTATAAAATTTAGTCACAAAAAGAAATATTTTGAAGAATCAGCTTTTTAAATTGAAAAAACCCCAAGTTTATCATAGATCGATATATAGATAGATCTCTAAGAAGAGCAGAGTTGGAAATACAATGAAGGTGGCCCACTTAGACCAAAGATAGACAGAGATGTTATTAATTCTTATATCTTGCAAATAGTATATTATTTGCTTATTTATGGAAAGTAGTAAAAAACCCAAGCCTGTTGTATTATGTATTATCAGTAAAAATTTGTGCAGTTGTTAGGGTTAGGAAATAATAGGAATAATAATAATAATAGGAATAACAGGAAACAGTGTTTATTGTGCTGTTAAGGGGGGAAGATTTTAAAACTCTACATAATAACTAAAGTCACACTGATAGATACTCTCAAGTCCTATTCTGCAAAATTTGCTGTCAGTTAATCCTGGGGGTACTTGCAGGATTAAATACTCTGGTTTCATTGTCCAGCTACAAGCTGCAAGTGAAAATTAAGGTGTAAGAATCAGGTTGCAGGCAAATGAGTTAAAGCTTCTTTACTCCTCCTTCCCCAATGATAAAGTGTCTGAGATTTTAAAAAATCTGGAGCCTGGAGGGGGGGTAGCAGATGGCCCACCTAGACTTGGTGTCTTTAACAATTGGCTTCGTGAGTGTTTGTAATTCTGCTTTTAAATCAGTTGTTTTAATAAATGGAGGCCATGTGTGAAAGCAGCAACTGGTGGAGGTCTTGCGTGTCACCTGTTACCACTCCATTCCTGTCCCCATATATTTAGCTGCTGGAGGAATGCTGTCAGTTGAAAAAAAAAAAAAAAAAAAAAAAAGCAAAACTGTTTCCTTCAAATTTCTGCTTTAATCTCTTTTGGAGAGAACATTGGAACAAGGTATTTTAATCTCTTGGAGTGGCTGGGTGGTGGCACGTTCTTTTAAACCCTTTCCTGTGTCAAAAATGTTGGTTTGTATAATCATTTGGGGATATTCTGACTGAGCAGTGAGGGATTTTGTTTCTTCAATAGCTTTAAAGTAAGTTACTATGGGGCATTTCTCCTGCTTATTTTGCAGGTATTGGAAGAAATTTCATGTTACCCAGAGAACAATGATGCAAAGGAGCTAAAGCGTATTTTAACACAACCTCATTTCATGGTAAGGAGGTCCTACTCTTGTTTGAGCTATTATTTTAATTTTTCTTTTTTTTCTTTTTGTTAGAAAACTTAAGTTCAGTAAGTTCTTAAAATCTGCAAGTGATGGAACTGCATACAATACACCTGTTAATAATTATTTCTAACCTGCTGCTCTGGCAAAAGAATTAGTATTTCTGCTACTATTAGACCTCATTACTGTGGTGAAAACGTTCAGCAGATTGAAGTAATGTAATTATGGAGCAGTTTCACTGTGTTTTTGGAGGTCTGTGTTGCTCATGGAAAGAAGAATGAATCCTTTTGGATATCCATAGATAGAGCCGGGATCCTCCTTTTTCTTTTTCCAACAAGCATTGCAAAATAAGTGTTTATTTAATATTATTTTACAATAAATCAGTAGTTTATACAGTCTGTTGAATTTGTGTTACATATCAACACTTACTGTACCTGTTTCCCAGATCTGATTTGAGGGCATTAATTGTCCTAAATTCAGGGATGTTACTGCTGTGTAACTTGGTTCAAGTTGCTGAAGTCCATTACTTTGAAGGATTTCTTTGTTTATGCTGTCGGTGAAGTTCATAAGTTGAGAAACAAACATGTTTGCTTAAATCTGCTATACATTATTGTCAGCTTAAAATCATGAATTTGACTTTCCCTAACATGAGGATTATATGCAGGGGGCTTTGTGGAATTTGCTCACCTGAAAGCTGAATTACTCTAAGTCTGAAGGATAAACGTAATTTCCAGGAAAGAGTGAGCTGAAACCAAACTCCTGTGCAGGTATAAGATGAAATCTGGGTAGCTGCATGTCCCAGTGTGTTCTTTTGATGGCCCCTGTAGCCTTGGCTACATTTGGATTTAACTTTAAATCACATCAGGAGCATGTTTTTAAAGTGTATCTCCTGATTGCCCCTTAACAGTGTTTGGTTTATATCACATAAGGGTCTTAGAGCATGCAAAACAACATTTTTCAGTTAAAATTAAACTGAAATATGTGCCAGGAGCCAGTGTAATCCAGCAGCTGATGGACACTGTCCACAGGGAGAGCTGGAAGCTGGTCAGAAGAAAAAACTCCTGCAATGTTCAGTGTGTACATCAGGTCCTGACTAATCCAATTTTTTTGTTTTTGATTCAGTCATATTTCACTGTACTAATTGCTAATGCAGACATGGACTTTTTTGTGCCAATTCAGCAACACTGAACACTGAAGTGTTTTTCCCTGGAGATGGTATCTGTTCTATCCTAAAGTTTGTAACAGCCCTGATTCAACATTTAACAGGATTGAAATAGAACATAAAACAAGGTGGAATGGTACTCAACCATATTGTAAGAAAGATTTTTAAGAAGTCTTTTTTTGATATTCAGCTTCATTTAGAATCTGACAGCTTCATTTAATTTACTGTTTTTGTGTGTAATTACCCCACAGTGCTGCTAAAAAATTAAGCACTGTGGAGAAAAAACATTTTTTAATTACAATTTTTTTTCAGAGTAGGCATCAATAACAGTGATTGTCATATATAGAATCAAGTGACAGGAAAATTGAGTTGAAAATCCTCTTTTTAGGTATCTCTGTTCCCTGATACACTCATAAATGTAAAATTTGTTGGCATTATGTTGCTGCAAATCTATGAAAAGTATTTTCCATAAGGTATAAGCTGCAATTCCATAACAAATACTTTTGATGAAGAGTAATTTCAGCAAGTGAGTCTGTGGTATCCCAGGCTAAATTGCCCATTGGTGAAGTCCCATCATCCCTTTTTTCCATCTTTCATCCTCTCCCTCGTAGTTCTGGCATTCATCTAGAACTGCACTTTAATGTTGCCCTAGGCTGAACTAGCTGAAAATTGCTCAAAAGAAAAAGTCCCCAACTAATCATTTAGTAAAAAGAATTTAGGATAATAGGGATGCTGCTAGAGCCAGAATGAGCAGGGGAACAGAAACAGTTGGTGTTAGGGAGGAATGTAAAGTAGCAATTAAACCAGCATAAGTTGGTGGGGATCCACACCTGCAGATACCACAGTCTACAGATGCCAAAGGGACAACTCCATCCTCTCCATCATTCCCAGCCTGCTCCCAAAGGCATCTTTATGGGCTGCAGACATTAATAAAATTATTCTTACATTTGTTGCATTGTGCCAGACTCCTTCAGAGCAAAAGCCTTTATACTTTAAAGGAAACTATTAGGAAAAGGAATAATTATATAAAACAATATTGTCAGCCCACACTCCTTGTGTTTGCCAGGTGTTACAGACCAATAAACTGGTTATTAATGCACATTAATTCAGTAATCAACAAGGTGTAATAAGTAGGAGTGTGCATTAACCACCTGTAGGATAATGGACTATTTTAGTACTTTATTTTTTAATCTAATGTGTATCCCTAATCAGATGAAAAAATAATATAATCCGTCTTGTTTACTTAACCACAGTGTTAGTGGGTTAAACTGTGTGCAGGCCTTTACAGAACCAAAGCCAATAAAGTGTGTTTGTTACAGATCTTCAAGGTGTTCTGTTGTTCTGATTTTCTTTCGCCCTCATGTGCCTTGTGGCTACAGAAATAAATTATCAATTTCTTCTGTGCATGTTTAACATTTTAATTTAAAGAAATGTATGTAAATTTTGCATGAAGGTCTTTCAGTAGATAATTAATTTAAGAATTCTTAAAGCATTGTCAAGTACCTCATTTGTTATGTAGGTACACATTTCAAAGAGCTTTTATTCCATTACACAGCTTTCAGTAGTTTTTCGAATATGCCAGTTTCATATGTAAAAGGTTCTATTATACAAGTTCAGTATGTTGTAGCAATTAAAATATTTTCTAGGAGAATTTTGCTTAATGACATATTGAAGTTTTATCCCTCATCACATGGTTTTTCCTATGCTGTTCTCTGCAGACAGTGATCCTGCAGTACAGTAGAAAGCAGTTGTTCTCATTAAATTTATTTTTAGCAGGATTATCATGTTCTGCAAAGGAAAGACAGACAGAAAAAAAACACATTATCAAAATTAGCAGAACTGCCTGAAGCAGGCATCTTTAAGTAAGGTCCAATAGGAATCTATTTATTAAATGTTTTCAATATTAAATTGAGCTTGCTGAACTTTAATGTATTTCTGAATTAGTGTTCAATTTTGTGAACATATTCAGAAGTCATTTAGTATAATTATGGACCTTTAAAAATGCTGGAAGTGCCGTATTTTAACCTCCTACAAGGTGAATATTATTGCTAAAAATAATATAAAGCAGGGAAAATATTTGTGATAAAAATGTAAGGACCTGGATTACATAAGAAATGTAATATTAAAGCGTGTAGAGTGTAACAGATACAACTAGGGGCACAGAATGACTTCCAAAGTTACTGTGTCCAACCATTAACCTACATTGGAGTAACCACACATAAATGGACACACAAATAAATCAAATTTTAATTAAATATTGTTAAAGTAGTTAACTTACTTGTGTGGTCCAGGTCTCTAATATAAAATGTTGCTCCAGTAGTGCAGACCGATGCAGAAAAATTGTTGTGAATTTGAGCTTATTGGTTGAGAAAATAAGATGAAAAATAGGAAGTGCAGATGCAGGTTAGTATTTAACTAAAAAGAGTATGTGTGTACATGGGCTTGAAACACTGGAAAAATGGGAGGGAATGTGGACAAAGCATTATTAGTTAAGGGAATTTTGTTCCATCATTATAGTGCTGACTTCCCAAGTATAGTTTCAAATTGATTTGAGAAATGGGAACATAAAGTGTTTAAGAAATTACCTTTTATAACATGGTACACTTTAGAAGTGCTTCTAAATTAGCTAATGAAAGCTAATGAAGCAGTGTTTTAGCAGTTTGTTGGTTTGCACTGTAATTTTTGTCAAGCATTTGGAACTCAGGGTGGTAGTGCTGGTCCACGTCCTAGGGAAAGGGGAGAGTATGGAAGCAATTATGATAGTAAACAACAAAAAAACAGCATTTCCTTCTTTCAGTCAGTATTGATCCACAGTCTGCCTTTATGACAGCAAAATACCATGGGATCTGAGTAGCTTTCCATTTTGCTAGAGTAATTATTATAGAGTGGTTTGCACAGAAAGGTAGATTCCCGATTCTCTGTCTATGCACATGAAGATGGATTCACTCTGACACCCTGCAGGTGTCGAGAGGATGAGGGGAAGGGGGGCAGCATCGTTCTCACTGAAGTACCTACAGTAAAAATCACATTAATTCATGTAGGTTTTAGAGTCTCAGCCTGTGTGTAGGAGTTTGCAGTCTGGAAGTTTCTCCTAGACTCCTTTAAGGGAAAAGTTTTTCAGTAGGAAATGGGGCACAAATATCTTGGATTTCCTTGACTTTCTTAGAAGCTTCAGAAACACTTACAAGGAACGAGCGAGGGACATGAGAGATGATGGACACCTGACATTTTGTCGCTGTGCTCTCCTCCAGGCCTTACTTCAAACTCATGATGTAGTGGCACATGAAGTTTACAGTGACGAAGCGCTGAGAGTTACCCCTCCTCCCACCTCTCCGTACCTGAACGGGGATTCCCCAGAGAGCGCCAACGGCGACATGGATATGGAGAACGTAACACGGGTCCGGCTGGTACAGTTCCAGAAGAACACAGATGAGCCCATGGTATGGAGGCAAGCTCACTATTTCCCTTGGCTTCGTGCTGGTAGAGACCAGCGTGGTAATGCTTTGTAATGTGTCGGTTTCCTCACTTTGAGGTGGGGTTGTCGATTAACTGGAATATGGATGCTAGCTATGAGTAAGGCAGGCAGCACAGTGCCTGTGGAACAGCAGGCCACATAACTTTCTCAGTCTCGCCTGAGAAAGTGGCCTGGGAAATCATAAGGAGGAATTAAGACAATCCTCAGAGATAGAAGACAGCCTTGCAGGTGCTGTTTGTCAGTTTCTTGTTTCCTTGCAAGAGAAGGTCGAGGAGTGGTGTACACCACTGACCAATGATGGTGATGTGTTAGTTTACTAGCCAATAAGAGTCCTTCTTTTCTATTCTTTCACGTATCGGTCTATAAAAGAAGTCTGAGGTAATAAACCTTAAGGAAGGAGGAACTCTCCTGTTCAACTCACAACAGAGTCTGTGTCGTTCTTCTCGCCATTCCTAATAGAGCGACACTGGAATGGTTTAGCAGCCACTGGAGCTGTTTATCCTCCTTGAAATGCTTTGTGTGCACTCACACTGCTGCTGTGCCACTAGGGCTGGGCTTCTTTAAAAGCAGCCTTGTAGTAGTTATAGCAAATTAGTCCTTAAACCCAACTGGAGCCTTTGCACTTCAGTGTAAAATTACATTTTTAACAAAACAGATCCTTATATGCTCATATGTTGAAGTATTGCGTTCTCACTTGTAAATAGTATCTGGTTTTATTGCTCATCTTGAAGTGAGTGACAAAGTTTTTATTTTAATTTTAAACTTTATACCATGCCTTCAAGCTTTCAGGAAACGTGACTATTCTTAACCACTCAAGAATCACAGTGCTTAACATTTTATTTTAAAAGTATAAACATTTCTTTTTTTTCTAGGGAATCACTTTAAAAATGAATGAGCTGAACCACTGCATTGTGGCAAGAATTATGCACGGAGGAATGATTCACCGGCAAGGTAATGACATTTCATGAAGAGTTTTGTCTTCAACCACAGTTATTTTAGATCCTTTTGTACAAACTGTGTACATTCTCCTGATTTTGATTGCTGCTATTCGTAGCAGTGTCTCTCTGTGCATGGACTCCTGCTAACTGCTTAAGTTACCTTCCAGTTGCAGATGTCTACCAGTGTTCTGAGATGAGGGCCCACTGTGTTTCATTTAGGTCATAATTAGGATAATTACTATCTTATTACTGAGTATAGCTCAGCAAGAGATGGAAACACCAATAATTCCTGGAGCTGTAATTACTTAATCCTCTCTTTTAAAAAAAAAAATCTTTACACAAGTAACAGTACTTTCCCTTGCAAAAATGAGAGAGCTTTGTCCACACAGTTCGTGAGGATCTTTATATTTTTGGTGTTAAGAATCACAGAAATGGGGTTTGAAGTAAAAATGTTACATGTGCCTAGATTCTAAATCTTTGTTTTTAGTTTTCACTACCGTAACAAATCTTGCAAACATGCTTTTTTTTGTCATCCCCAGCCTTCTCCTCTTTGTCATTGTGTGTGTTCATATCAAATGTCCAAATGTAACCGGGTTTTGTCCTGCTTTAAACAGATGAACTTCCCTACTAGGTTGTTGGTTGCAAGTTTGGATTGCAGCCATGAAAAGGTTACTTTAGTTTTTTCAGACTGCCATGTTTTTCTTTTGATGAAAACAAAAATTTTCTTCATTTTTCAGACCAAAGTTCCCTCTAGCCTATTGTTCTACTTCAGAGGAAGCTAGGAACATATAATTGGGAAGAGAAAACATATATTCACTTTGTCTCAATGATATGGTAAAATCTGTCAGGAAGCAGGAAAGACAAAAGTTTTAATACAAGCAAAGATGCAATTCAGAGAGAGTTCTATATGCCTTTGGAGGACCTCCTGAATTTAAATTCATTTGGCTTCTGAAAGTCAGTTTAAAAGGAGATTGCTCAAAGATTCACAGGAAGAAGGTTTTCTCTCAGCTGTGCTTAGGTAGTGGAGATGCTCTGCACAGTATTGCTTCACACAACTGTGTTCCATAATGGGGCTAATAAAACTTCTAAAACCTGCTAAAAATGGGTAAAATATCCAATTGTGCCCATTAAAACTCTTTTTAATTATTCAGGGTCTTTTCTAAAGATTTGGGAAATCTAACCTATTCTCTATGTGTTTCATCTAGCTAAGGTAGTGCTCTGCACTAGGTATAGTTTGAAAATGAGCTGTACTTCAGTGTTTCTCTAGTATGGTCATCTTTTTTTTAAATGCCTCTAATTAATTTAAATGCTTCTGTTAGTGCTCTTGATGCCTCTTAGCTTTACTGCTTTGTTCAGCATACCTGTATTTAGAATATTTTTATTTTTTATTTTACACAAGTGTAATTTGAGAGTAATCTCAAGCACCATCTTTGAATCCTATTGGTAGGACCTGTGCTTTGTATTGGTTTTGGGGTGTGTTGGGTCATTTTTCTCTTCTCTCTCTTTTTGCTGTATGAAAAACTGCCAGGCAATATCCTCAATGTCTGGATAGTAAATCTTCTGTGAAGGTTACAGGAACTGTATCATTTCAGGTCCAGCAGATTAAACACAAACTCTGCAATTCCCAGTGACAAAATTGTAGCTACTGTGAAGTTGCCTCCTGTCTCTAGACCAACTGTGTCTAGTCCTGGCAATTGAAATTGTTCTTATTCCAAAGGTGGCAGAGTTGAAATGGGAAGAAAGGCTTTAAAAGATTCCATCTACTCACACCTTCCAGAGCATTCAGTAAAAATGAAACACCAGTGTCAGTCATTAAAAATCGTCTGTTTGTTGTTGACATGTCTGCCAACTGTTCATTCTATATTCCTAATTTTTATGTATACTTCTCCTTACAGTCATGAACATACCAATATTCACTTCTGTCAGAGTGACAGAAATGGGAAATGCTGCAGAAAAGGGGATTTTATTTGATGCAGGGATGTTAATGAATCTGATTCTCAGTCTAACATGTAATTCTATCAGTTTGATGTAATGAATAATATCAAAGAATCTTTATACTATTCCAGGCCATATGGTGGTTTTGATTCAATATTGTTTAACAACAAAAACATGTTTTTCCCATTTACTTAGAGAATGCCTGGTTATCTCTTGCTGTGTATTCACTGCACTCTGAAATACAGATTTGTAGCTAATGCAAAGTCCTTTTCTGAATCTAGCAAAAAAAATTATTTTAATGTTGTTTTCTGTTTATGCCTCTGTATGAATATTAGTGCTGTGTTATAATTATTTCAATTTGTAGAAACATGTCCTGAGGTGATTATGTGTTTGTTAACTCTGCAGGTACGCTACATGTAGGGGATGAAATCAGAGAAATAAATGGAATCAGTGTGGCAAATCAAACTGTAGAACAACTACAAAAAATGCTTGTAAGTGCCTGCAATCTTCCTCATGTCCTCTATAAAAGTGCCTGTCTAACTTAGTCAAAAGTTCTGTGTAATTGTGTTCTAACTTCCCCTTTTTCTTGTGCTCTTGATAGACTACATGTCCATGCAACTAAAAGTTATTTCAATTTATAACTGTTGGGCTCAGTTACTGAAGTTACAAATTTAAAAAACATTACTTGGAGCTCAGTCAGTCTGTCTTTTTCCAGGAAAGCTCTACCTTTGGCCTCGCTAGCAGAGTTTGATATTTCCATAACACTTGTTCATTTTTCTGCATACAGCCCTAACCTTGAGATCTTGGATAGTATTGCTAATCCTCGACAAGCTTAAAGGGAAGTAGCATTTTTTTGGGGTCACAGTAAGCCAGCCAAAGAGAGAAAGGGGGGAAACTCTGAGATCTCTTGAAGTGATCTGCTCACATTTCTGCCCAGATCGAGTTCTGCAGTTGTCAGCCATGTGGTATTCACGAGTATTCTGACTGCCATTTAAGAAAAGAGGTTGTCACAATCTGCTGCTATTCTGGAGTTACTCCTTGTTATAAATATACAATAGTAGATGCAGAGTAGTAGACCCCATGTTCTGTTTTGATGAAAGACTATTTTTGACATTCCTACCTTTAGTACCGTAAAATGCAGCTTTCCAGAAACTGAATACAGTTTTGCTATTTAACATGTATGATGAAAGGGAAGAAAATGCCACTTTAGTAGAAAAGACTGCAGATGACAGGAATATAGCTACAAAAAAAAAGGTTGACATGGAGGAAACCTACACATCTCTGAATCTCTCACAATAAGATACTATTCTAGATTATAGGCATTCAGAACCTGGTAAGGTGAACAAACTGATAATGATGTTCATCCTTCAGATTAATGAAGACAATTTGAATGTTTGTTTATAGGTGATATGACAACTTATCCATAGCATTTTGGCTTTTCATACTTGGGCTGTGATGTTTTCCTTTCCAGCATTAACAATTTGGAGTCACAAAGTGCTTTTTTTTTCACAGAGGGAAATGCGTGGAAGTATTACCTTCAAGATTGTGCCAAGTTACCGCATGCAATCTTCATCCTGTGAGGTAATGAATTTAATGACCCATCTCCTTTCTTCCTCAGTCCTGTAACTAACTGCCTGCTGATGGCTGAATGTTACTGCTTTCTGGGAAATTGTTTCTGCCTGTCCTGTTAGATCACGCACACCAATTTTACAACAAAGATAACGGAACACGAGTAGGTCCCACCTACCTACTCAGCCCTGCCTCCATATTCATCTCATCAGCACCTTAACTAACTCTTTACAGCCTGTTAAAGAAAAAAAAAAATAGGAAAGGGGATTCTCAACTTAAGCATTTAGGAAGCCCCTTTAAAATATCATTTAAACTCATACTTTTAGGAAGTCTGTTAAAGTTCCTAAACTGAGGAATGATCCTCCTCTTTTTTAGGCTTTAAACGTTGTGTTGCTGCTTTGGGCTGTTAAGGGTTAATTGAAAAACCTGTTTCTGTATAACCCTGTTGAGGTAAATTTGTGATGGTTGTGTGTAACAGTTACATGTGGCTTAATATTATGTTTCCATGAAAAAATGTTCTTTATTACTACAGAAGAAAAACAGATTTTGAGTTGTTGCTGAACTAGAAACTTGGTATTACAGCTTTTGCACAGCAACGTTTAATTCCCTTTTGCTCCCAAAGTTCCATTCCAGATTGCAACTGAAGGGAATTAAATTGTAGAAATGGCTACTTGAGAGCCACTGTTGCAGTCTGAGCATACAGATGGCATTTGCAGTGTGTGGATGATGCCAGTCCCTCCATGCCACATGCTTAACTGCGCAAACAGCTCCCGAATTAGAACTCCCTGAGTGAAATCACAACCCCTGCTGAAGTCAAGCACCTTATCTTAATTAGAGCTGTGATTTCACCCTAATTGTTCTTGTGTCTCAGCAGATGCTAGAACACACAGAAACTGCTATTGTGGTCGTCAGAACAGTCTGTTTTGCAGGGAAAAAAAATTATGGCTTCTCGGTTGCCTTCAGTACTTCTAGTAGAATTCAACAAAAAATGAAAAGTTTTAGAGGTAGAAGGTTTGACAGATTTTCACCTGTGAGGCTAATTCTCTTAAAATAAATATGAAACCAGAAGCTTTTCATGAAATGCAAAGGCTTTTTAAAAAATTACAGTGTGCTGACAAATTCGTGTATTGACTTCTGTGCTGCAGAGAGGAGTAATAATAAACGATACCTCACTTCCCAGTAGTGAAATACAGAAACTGGTGAAACTGCAGATTTGCTGGGAAGATGATTATTTGGAAAAACTCAGCATACAGCTTTAAATTAGTACTATTAGTTGTCATTTTAGTAGTAGCAGATCATCTCTTTTCTTTAGCTTTGTGTCCTTAGGCTTTTCATGACTATTTACTTCACAGAAGAATGGAAAATAGACTCTTACTTTCCTCTGGGAAAAAAATGGCTAAACTAGAAATGTGTGATTAAAGAGAAAAGGTCTAATTATCCTACTTTGTATTTATCATTCATTTAGTCAGAGATGCATGAGTCCTTTCCAGCTGCTCAGCCACACTAAGATTTTGGGTTGATTTTCATCAGTTACAGGTGTACACAAAAACCTGGTGTTTTTAAATCATGCTGTTAAAGCATCACTAGTCCTTTGGTACACTGGGAACTTTTTTCACAGAATTTTCAGGAAGGTGATTCTTACAATGAATCAAATTCTTAACCATTGATAAAGACTAAAAATAAATGTTGACTGACATTGCTAACACAAATTACTTCTCGTGCCCTCCATCAGGATAAATAGAGAGATTTTTGGTATTCACTAGTATAATCTTCCTAGTTAAGGTATTTTTTGGCAATATTTCAGTCTAAATTTATGTTTGATTTCCCCCCTCCTTCAGTCATGGACTGGTGCTTATGTTGTGTAGTTTATGAGAAGAGGAATATAAAACAGAATGGAGGATTGGGGGCCTTTGAAGATTCTACCAGGATCACATTACTGGGTTGCAAGACATCTTGTTAATCTTTAATAAGAAAAAACTATATATTAGTAGAATCAGAAATGATGTGCTTCTTATTTACAATCTTAGGCCTTCACAAAGGGGAGGCAGGCATGGAATGTTTTTCTTTCAATAGCTGGGATTTGAATTTCACTTGCCATATTTGTCTTCTTTTATGCTAATTTAAAATAAGTGTTATTTTCTAAATATTGAGCCATTTCTGCATATATAGGGAAGTCTTTTTCCTACACTTTGCAATTCAGGATAACGAGGCAGTTTTCAAAATCTCAACAGAATAATTTCAGGTTTTGTAGTCATTTGTGGGTTTTCCTGCACCCATGCCTTCCATTCACTTGCCAGACCTTCCATTTCATGGAGCAGACCTTGCTTGAAGACATAGTACTTTTGAATTCCCTTGTGTAAAATTTGGATCAGCTGATGTAGTGTGAGATGACCAGTTCAGTCACTGGCATGGCAAATTACCTGAGTTAATGCAGATATTTCGATAACAAGGGGCCAGGATGTTGTTTTCTTCATCAGATACCAAAAAAATTGCAAATTTACATAAACATGAACTTAAGTAACTATTGCAACACATCCTTCTTATGGCTGATGGCTCTGTACGCTGTTTATATGTTTCAGTTTTATCCCAATGAGTAAGCATTTTGCTCTGACTACATTTGCATTCCTACTTTGTACTGACACAACACCCCAAGTAACTTTTGATAGTGTCAGATATGTGAGAATGGTAAGAGAAGTTCTTTTTTTTTTTAACAAAAAAAATCCTTATAGACATTCTTTATGTTTCAAATAACCTTTAAGTTGTTTCATTAAGAAGAAAAGCGTTTATACATATGAGATTTTAAAAGCCTGGTGTTAATCACCATGGATTTTTTTCCTTTGTCTTCTATGGTTTCCATTAGTGCTCAAACATCAGGAGTTTTTATTGTCTTAAACCTTTCAAATTTGCATTAAAAATACTGACAGAAGTGTTCCTGGAGCAAGACAGAAATTTAAAAGTATTTTTAGAATTTTGGAAAGTCTGGTTTTGTTGGAGGTTTTGGTTTTGTTTGCTTTCTTGTCTAATTTTTTTTTTTTTTTTTTTTTTGTATCTGGCAACAATATCATTGATCCAGCTGTTTTTGTCAGTATCTAATTTGATCAGGTCATATTTATTAGACATCACTGAGTTCTATATAGCTTTGTAGCTTAAATGCATTGTTTATCATTCATAAACCTAAAAACAAGGAGACAACAGGAAACTGGGTTTGCCATCATTTGGAAATAATTGTGGTTGTTTCCTCTAAGGCTCTGGCTCTGTGGTTCTTAGCTGAATAGTGATGATCTCACAGATTTCTGTTGTTTTTTGTCCTGGGGCTGGAGAAGGCTGGGAAGTCCAGACAGTCAAGTCTACTAAAATATAATGGTAATAACCTTTCTACATTACTGAGAATCACTGGATCCTCCAAGTGTTTTTCTGCCCCTCTTCCCAGGAAAAGTAGGTTTTTTACTGATTTTTCTGGAGAAACAAATTCACAACCAAAACTGTAGTTTTCCAGGCCAGTCCTAAGCACTCCTGTTATTCTTTAAGGATCTCTGTACTCATTGATTTGTCTCATTAGATTGTTCATAATACAGTTTTTCTCCTAACTTTTGAGTCTGGTATTTTTTAAAAGAAAGACTTGTCCCTAGAAAATTAAGAATCTAAATGCCTTTGAAAATGTGACAGAACAGAACAGCCTAATTATGTAAAAGTCATACATAAAAATATGTCTCTTGACTAACTTGTTAGATTATTTCTGACAGTACTGAAATCATCAATAGCACTGAAAATGTCTATTTTCCTCAGTATGTTGTGATGAACATTTGCTTTGAATAATATGCTGTCTTGTGTTGAGAATTGTTGGAGGAATAAAAATCAAAACATTCTCAAACCAAGAAAATTTCCTTCAAAGGCAGAATCCTTCAAGACATTCCAGAAATAGTGGCATTCTCTAAAGTTGTTTTTCTCCAAATGATTTGGGTACTTGCATCAGTTTCCAAAGCTTTCCCTTGGTCTCCTGCTAAACCATCACCAAAAACAGATCATAACAAACCAGATTTAAAAAAAAAAAAAAAAAATTACAATTGATTTTTCACCTCTTGAAAGTGAGAAAATAGCAGAGACAGAATTGCAGAGCAAGCAGAAAATCTCTTTATAAAGCCAGGAAATCACTGCCTTTTTGAAAAAAGTTGTTCTGGTTACAGTTTGATAAAGGTGATGCTGATAATCCATACACACACACAAAAAAAGGAATACTGATTTCTTTAGGCTTTTCATTTTTTTATTCTTTATTTTATTTTTTTATATTTTTTTCAGTAATGAGTGGTTTAATTGCTTTCATTTGAATATTTTAAACTTGTTGTGCTGAACTGATTTTGTAATTAGAATTAGAGCTGATTTCCCCTACTCCTTTACACATTGCAAATATTTGTGGGAGACAAGTTTTGTTCTTACATATGTGTCATTAATCCATGATTAATATTACATGAACAGTTTAGCTCCAGGTTTTTAATTGTTCACAAAAGATAGTTATATTGATAAAATATGACAGCATTAACTTTGTTTGCTTAGAAAACTGTTTCAGCCCTTTTTCTCTGCTGTCCTTGATGTTACACAAAATGACCAGACATTCCTAAGCTGACCTTTGACATGGAATATTATATTCTAGAATTCTTTTGAGGGTAAAAGGGATTTGTTTTTTTAATTAAATTTTTTTACAATGTATGAGTGGATTATTTTATTTTCAGAAGAGATGGCTCAATTATCTGGACCTCATGGAATTAATTAAGCACAGTCAAAATGGCATGTGAAAAAGATTGCTCTGAAAAACCCAATCAGAAATTCCAGTTATCCTTCCTGTAGAATTTCCCAGTGTGCACCCTGTGTCTGCACTGAACTGTAGGGCCACACTGGTAGTCTGGGTCAAGGGAATTAGCTTTTTTAAGGTGCTATATTTTGGCAAGGTTTGATACTCTCAGGCCCTTACAAATGTTGGAGGAAAACCCGCATTGTGCAGTAAAATGGATGAGAAGGGAGGAGAGAGAATCCAGCTTTCTCCTCAGGTCCCAGCCTCAGTGTCTTTGAGGCACTGCTGGGAGGTGCATCTTGCTGAGTAGAGACTGATCAACCACCACATAGCTGAAAAAATATTCAGAAACATCTTTAAAACAGGATATGGGCCTCATTCTATTCCAAATACTGTTCAGAGTGTAACTTTCAGGTACTTGAACAAGACTGGTCTATGACTGAGGGATGGTGGCATCGTCAGCCTTTTGAGATCTCAGAAGTCCCAGTTATTAAAAAGCTGAAGGCAACATAAAAATAGTTATTACCTCAGATAAATCAAAATGTCAAACCTGAATCTTAAGCTATGGAAAAGCTTTTTAGATTTACAGAGATTGTAGTGTGGAAGCTTTCACAAATGAAGCAGCTAAGCAAATGGTTATAAGGCTGTGGATGTAACTGTTCTTTGAAATATATCTGTGTTCCTGTGCTAGTGTTGTGTTGTTAATGAACCTTGTGTCTTATTTCAGAGAGATTCCCCCTCTACATCCAGACAGTCCCCCGCTAATGGTCATAGCAGCACTAACAATTCTGTTTCGGTAAGATTTCCAGTTCCACACAGAGAAAGTGTGAAAGTTTTGTTGGTGCTCATCTGCCATTACTGTTATACTTATTGTGTGGTCAGTGGAAAATTCTGTCCTGCTGAGAGAACCCAGGTTATTGCATATGTAACTCCCCGTTTTCTTTTCTTTTCTTTTTTTTTTTTTTTTTTGAAGGGCTTTTTCCAACATATTCTTCTCATTAGAAGCCGTACAGTGAATTAAATGTTAATAACTGTACTGTGACACTTCAGTCATCCTTAAATCATTGTCAGCACTTTCCTCAAAACTGAGCAGAGGGTTAAAGTGGAAGCTTTTATTTCCATCCTGAACTTTGGAAGCAGAGTTTGAAGGAAGAGTAACCATGCAGTTGGTATCCCAAGACATTTTAGATTCTTTTTTTTTTTTTAAGTTTTGTGTTTTGAGAGCCCTCTGGAACGTGTACTGGTTTCCGCTATCTGAGTTAAGGAATTGGTGTGCTCTCTGCTGTCGTGGTACGTGCACATACTGTGTGAAACATGAGCCTTGCCTGGATATGGAAAGCAAAAGGAAGTGGCTTTAAACTGCACTACAAACCAAGCTATTACCATCACATCTTTAACACAAAGTACTTCTGTTTTGTATGTATTCAGGTAGAAAGGTGCTGTCGATCTCCTGTTCTTCCCAAAGTACATTAATGTAAAAATTCGTGTTGTTTATCATCTGTTGTTGTTTGGACCAATGTAGTAACTACACACAAGTTTCTTCAGTGAGTGCTGTCAATATCATGAGTTCCTTGGACTAGCTAAAAACAAACAAAAAAGAACCAAAACTGAGTAACTATTTCTTTAACTATTAATAAAAATTACAACTTAGACATTATTTGCCACAAGGTAAAGTGCTTATTAATTAGTAGACTAAAAAGTAATTGTGTGAATGAAAAATTTAAGACATTTTTGTTAATTAAATTAAATTTATAACGTGAAAGTAGTGGTAACCTTATTTCTTAGCACAATTGATCACATTATACATTTTTAATCATAGGTTTTTTAATATTTAAAATAACCTCTCTCTTTTAAAAGCAAAACTTGATACTTAAGTGGAAAAGGCATTCACATAAAGAGCCTCTTTCACTTGGTGGTGCTTTTGTGTTGAAGATGCTGAATTATTTATTAAAAAGCACATTCTCTATCTGCTTAAACTTTTTACCTGCTTTCTTCAGCTTGCTGCTAAACAGCCTGGGTTTGATTTTTCTTAAAGAAAAAAGTTATTTCTAAACATGGGTCAGTGCTTTATACTTTTGTCTAACTTACCATTTTACTGTAATGTAGTATGAATCACTAACAGTGTTATGTACCCTTAAAAAGTAAAATGAAAATTTCTTCTCCTGGGTTGGCTTTATTCTGCAGGACTTGCCATCGACAACACAACCAAAAGGACGACAGGTGAATAGATATCCTCCATGGGAATTATTGTAAACTTAGCTGCTAGCAAACATCCCTGCTTACCTTTTCCCCCCTCATATTCTGTATGTGCTGGACTAAAACATTTAAGCTTGGAAAATTTGTTCCATTTTTTTCATTTTTCTTTTTAACTCATTTGTGTGTGGCTAATTCAAAATAGTTTGTTTTTGGTTTTTTTTTTTAATGTGTACACATGTGTGAGAGTTACAAAGTCATTGTGAATTTAACTGGAGATGTTGATTTAGTTCAGAATACATTAAATAGACTTCCTGTAGTGCAGTGACCTGTACAGATTTTAATCTTCGAGGAAAGCTCAAATTTCTATTTTACCTGGAACAGAGACAAGTCGGGCAGGTGTCTAAAACTCTAAAACATTGTGCTGACAAAGATTGAGTTTATCTGAAACTAATTATTAACATCAACAAAGTATTTCAAAGAAAAACATTTAGGGATGGTTTCTGTTAAGGTTTGATTAATCTGAAGATGATCTCTTAAAATTTCAGTCCTAAGTCCCATATTCAAAAACCTCACTTAACCTTGTAACGTTGACCTGGTGGTTGTGCAAGCCAGCACAAACCAAAGAAAGATCTTCCCTCTCCAGAAAATTCCAAGAAAGCACATGGGGCTCCTCAGAGGATTCCCTATCTTTCTCTTTGCAATTTAAAGAATTTTTTTAAGAAAAAAAAATTGAAGAATGTTCTTTTACTGCAGCCTCCAAATGAACATATATTGTCAAGTGATTTGTGATTCATCTCCAGTAACTGTTCCAGTTATTTATAATCTTTCTAAAACCTACCTCTGAATTTTTAACTGTGTACTCAGCCTCCTTCTCTATCAGGAATTTTTGTAATAGCTCTTGAAATTCCATTCAAGAAGTCAATCAGCTGCATTAACTCTTCTCTTTGAGAATCTTTTTATGCTGCTGTCTGGTTGAGCTGGCTGGAACTTCTATTACAAGAATAGTTTTTTTTCACTTCCCATTTTTAAAGCCTCTCTATGGTTCTTTCAACTTCCCATTTTCTTCTGAAGCTGCCTGAATGTAAACCTGGAAAGGCTCCATGAAATACCTTCCAGACATTCATAGGGGGTTTTCATTTGCTTCTCATAGGGCTATTTCCCCAGGAGAAGAAACTTCATCCAAGGCATTATCAAAATAATTGTGTTTTTCTTACTCACACCATTTATAATTACCTGAGTTTTTCAATTTTACCTGATTTTTCCCATTGAACCAGCACCTTTTTCTTGTCATCCTGGAAAACAGTGAGGACTTGGCTAATTCTCATGTGTAAGGAAATCTGTAATGTTCCATGAGCTGCCAATATATGGTGGATAATGGCTCAAACTGGAGCAGGGACTTGAAAAACAGGGAAGTTTCTAGATAGTAAAAATACTGCTGATGTTTCTAGGCCTATATGAATAAGCTTCAGGCAAAATAAGGGATTGGCTCAATATTGATTACTTCATGGAAAACAAATGACTAAGTAAACATAATTGGTTTCAAAAAATCCTATTTCTCAAGTAATTAAAATAAGCTGGATTGCTTTTTTAAACTTAATGCACAGCAGAGCAAGGGTCAAATTTAATGTATTAAAAGTTGAGTTCTGTATTGGTACTATCATCTGATACTCTCACTGCAAACCCATAAAAATACATCAAATAGAAGATAAAAGTGATTAGCCATTTTAGTTAATTTATTCATATGTTGAGGTGCAGATTGGATTACTTTTTTAGGAGCCATGAATAGTGCTAACACTGCATAGTTAGTGCTATTATTGGAGCAGAATTTGAGCAGAGTTGAAAAGTGATTGTTACAGTCTCTAAGAAGGATATTACTTTGCAATGTAATTGTTTGGGATTTTTTAATCTAGTCCATTTTTAGTAAGAAAATCAACAGTATGTGTATACAAGGGTGTCTGAGATGCTGTAGGGGTAGTGTTTGAAGTTCATGAACTGTAGAGACTACCCTTCTAGGCCATGGCACTTAATTTTGATTTTAAGATCCTTGGATGCATCAGGGCTCCAGTTAACAACCAAAATTGGGGATCACTTTTATTTTCATTTTCTAGGGTTGAGACCTCAGTAACACACAAGGAAAGGATTGGTATAATCTTGTATATTGTGAAGTCAGAGTTTGGCTTCTTTCTGTACATGTTCCTTAGAGAATAACTTGCTCAGATTTACACAGGAGCAGACTTTTACTGAAAAACCCATACAGAGAATTTCCACATTCCTCCTGAGTAATTTTGTGATAGGTACAATACAGAACTTCCTAAAAAAGATTTTTTTTTAGTGTCTTAAAAGTTCTCATTCCAAATATCACTAGTAAAGCCAAAATCTTTTATACGATCCAGTAAAATTCCCTGTCACAGAAATTTTTAAGACATACCATGGGACTCCAATTGGAAAGTACATTACAAATTGAGTTGTAAGGTGCTGGCTTGTGTTCTGTAATGATTTGTGTTAGTTAATAAATGTTTGAGGGACTCTATGAGTTTTATACATTTTTGCTGTTCAGGTTCCATAGAATGTAGAAACCATGAACTGTTGAAACGACATCATATGTCTCCATCATTTGCTGGAGGGGGCATTTTCATTTTCAACAATCACTTACACTTTGGCACCTTCCTTTTATGTTTCTTTCTTTGCTTGTTGCAACCTATATGTGTAGCTGCATTCACAGATCAGATTTTCACCTGTTACTCTCAATACCATACCAGTAATGATATTGCAGTGTCTCTTATAAACTCTTTTTTTTTCCGTAGATCTATGTAAGAGCACAATTTGAATATGATCCAGCAAAGGATGACCTCATTCCTTGCAAAGAAGCTGGCATCAGATTCCGAGTTGGTGATATTATCCAAATCATTAGCAAAGATGATCATAACTGGTGGCAGGGTAAACTTGAGAACTCCAAAAATGGTACTGCAGGTCTTATTCCTTCTCCTGAACTTCAGGAATGGTATGACTTAAGTTTTCTATAAAAATTAATTTAGTTTTGATTTTATTTCTGTCTTTCATGCTTTTCATTGTTGTATAGCTAGCCTCTATCTAAAGATAGAATTCTTTATTCTATTTCTTTTTTTTTTTCCTAAGTCTGTATATTGACTCAGTTTGTGTGGTATTGATTTTTTTTTCTCATGTATGCATAGAAGTAAGGGTTACATGCAATTTCATATGTGTGATTACATTATAAAGATAGATTCCTATGTTAAACACTGTGCTTTCTGCTATACTGTAGGAAACCAGGATTAAAAATGGCAACATGCAAATTGGTTATATAAGAGAGTTAAATTAATTTCTCTTTCAACTTCTAATCAGGGGTTTCATTAGTACTGTTTACATGCAAGTGCTAGAGGAATGGGGTTTTTAGCAAGTTGTCAAGCAAAAAGGTCATTGAAGGAGTTTTAGGGTTTTCTTTCTTTTTCATTTTTCATGTGAATGTCAAAAAGCAGAACCAAATCACAGTGCCAGTGGCAGGTTCAATGAACAGCAATGGCACTGAGCAATGCAGAGCCTTTAAACAGCCTCTTGCAGGAGCTGTTTAGAAAAGAATTTAAATACATCAGTACAAATTCTGGCAAGTGAGTCCTGGGCCTTGGAAGGCATGGCCATAACTCAATAAAGCTTATAAACATGGATAATCTAGCCCAAAATACTTCATAGAGGAATTGCTGTGTAAAAGAGTTGGAGTTGTGCACAGCTCCTGTGCCTCCTGGACTGGCTAAGGGAGATTTTGCCAGAAGAGAGACGGAGGCAGACAAGACCTTTAGTTCCATCTCCTGAGCTCTGTGCAAGCCCTGATGTAAGGGAGGCACAGGTGCAGATTGCAGCAGGGTCCCTTGCAGTGTTTCAGTCTAAAGATCAACTTGCAAACAGTCCCCCAGCACAGCACCACTTGCTCTGGAGGAATTTAAACCGTGGTGATCTTTCCAGACCTTGTGCTCTTCCATTCTGATCTACTGCAGTGTTCTGGATTCATTCCAGCAGCTGCCCTTCCTCCCATGTTCACTTCATCTGTGAGCTTCCATCATCCACTTCTAAGAAAATATTCTTACATCAAAATATCCCTGTATATGTGTTCTTTGAAGTCATTTAAAAAAAAAATGTTTTTAAAAGTTTTACTGCTCTCTAGCTCTAAAAAAGTCTTGCTTCTCTAATTCATTCTGTGCAGCTTTTTAAAGATCCTTGACTACAACAGAAAATGTTTTTTCTCCTCCTTATGTCAGGCGTGTTGCTTGTATTGCCATGGAGAAGACCAAACAGGAGCAACAGGCCAGCTGTACTTGGTTTGGAAAGAAAAAAAAGCAGTACAAAGACAAATATTTGGCAAAGCACAATGCAGGTATGAACAAAAAATGCAGGTATCTGTCACAGGTTACATTTTAAGCCTTGCCATTAATTGTTCAGCTGGCACTATTATAACCTAATGAGTTACTTAGGAAAACATAAGTAAAATTCTAATTTTGCCAGCATTACTCTGCTTATTCTTTGCTATGTAAGCAGAGAGCTTAGTCAGTGAGAGGCAGGCTGCCACAAAATCAATGCATCATAGTATATCCTGATAGAGGCTTACATAGTTTGGGGGTTTATGTTTAAAGCAGCATTAGAAACAAACAGGATATGATTTTTGCAACCTATATAACTCTGTGCTCTACAAAAGACTGTTCAGTAGCATCCTTGTTAATACTATGTATTTATAGTTACAGATTATATACATGAAAATGTCATGAAATAGCATTTTTATTGAAGTGATACAGCTGGAAGTGGAATAGGAGCCATTGCATAGTCAGTGTGTTATTTACAGTTACCAAATAGAATCAGCTGTGGAGGTTTATCCTCCTTGCAGTGATTGCTGCCTGAATCCTGAGTTTGGGGCTTCTGTTTAGACTGCTGAAGAAATGGTGTTAGAAAATGTAGAAGTGTAGAGTAAAAGATCCTTCTCAAGCAAAATTCATCAGTTTTAGTAGTAAAGAAGACAGACTCCATCATTTATGAGCTGAATTTGCTTCTTTTCTTCTTTTAATATAAAATACTTAATGTGCTGAAACTGCTTTTCAACACTTTTCTGTTGCTTCTGCATTGGTAGCACATTCTGTGTTGCTTATGTTGTTGTGGTCTCCTGAGAGACTTGCAGAGATTTTTATTAGAATCAGAATAGATACCTGTCCAAGCATTGTAATGGAAGTATTTTATATTACATTAATTTCTGGGGGTTTTTTTCAGTTGCATTCTTGAGCACACCAATTAAACAATATAAATCCATATTTTCATGTATTTCTCTTTACTTGCACAGTGTGTGCAGTATCAGAGCTCATAATGTGTCACTATTAATGAATATGTGTTTCCTTAAAAGTAATTTGAAAGTAAATTCTAAGAAAGTCAAAGGACACTAATTGTTGTTTGCACTCTTTAAATTCAGTGTTGCATTTAAGGTGTTCACAGGTGAATATATAACTATTTGTTGCCCTGAAAGCTCTCACAAGCAGAGATTTAAAGCTTTAAGTAGGTTCCTTCCTTTTGCTGGTGTAACACCCTGCTTGTTCCAATGTTCCCCCTTCACTGTAGTAGTTTTAACAATTATAACATTTTAACAATTATAACAAAAGCTGTTGAGAGTAAAATGGATTTTATGAGCCAAAGTCTTTCACAATACTGATATCAACTGCTCCCAGCACACATTCCCACAGCCTTGCTCCTCCCTTCTGTTGTGGCCCTGCTGTGAACTGGATCAAGAACAACCCAAAAAAGACATGGATTTTTCTTTCTTTAGGGCAGATGCATTTCTTGATGCAGCTCTCAGTGGAAATCCAGAGATAAAAATGTCTGTGTGAGTAAGCAGGGCCAGCTACAAGGGAGTGAGCTAAAGGAAGGATAGCCAAGGGAAGAAGGAGCAGGAGCAGGCAGTACTGTAGGAGCAGAACTAGCTCAAAGATTTTCTGTCTGTTTAATTCCTGAAAGGAATCTAGACTTTGCACTCTTGACAGAGGGGGACATTTTGGAGTAGGTTGATGGCACTTTGATTCACACAGTTCACCTGCCTTCACCAGCAGTGTTATATCTTTATTTGCTTTATATCAGAGCAGGTATTTGCCAAAAATTAGAAATACAAACATTAAAAATTATTATTATGACCATAAAAGAAACTGTTCCCTTCAGAATACAACTTCCCCTTTCCCCTTAGTCAAAAAGTTAATGCAAGCACAGATTGAAATACAGATTTCTTGTAGAAATGTTATTGATCTTAGTGTCCCTGAGGTACTGAAGGTGATGCCAGTAATATTCCAGGGAGTGACACCAAATGGAGCATATTCCATTTATGAATATTACTAATTGCTTTGGTGCTCATGTGAGTTCAGGTTTAACTGAGGTGGCACTGAATTCACATTCTCTGAAGTGCCCTGTCACATCCAGGATTGTTAGTCAGAAATATGACAAAACTGGCCCTTGCAGCATTTCAGTGCTTCTGTTTCAGAATAAAAAACAGATCTTTTCTCCCACTGGTTCCAAAACAAGTCTAATCATTCTCAAAATGTTGCTCTTACAGGAAAGTAGATTTTTTTTCTCTTATATCTTAATATAAAATTAAATAAATTGATCAGCAGTGTGTAATCTATTTGGACTTATGTGTTATTTTCTCTTAGGGGTGAGACTGGAGTGCTGAGAAATGACCCAGTAAAATAATTCACAGTCAGCTCAGATTTGTGTGGCCAGCTAATGATTTGAGAGCTGATGTGGAATATTTGGATATTGCTGGAAGTAGAAATGAGATTATTCTGCAAATCAGATGTAGTTTATGAAGTAAACAGGAGATGATTTCAGTTACTTTTTAGAATTAGAAGCAAATACATTCTCCTTTACAATATAAATGTAATCCTGTTGTTCTTTCCTCCATGCTTCATATCAGAGTATTAGGCAATTTCATGATCATGTTTTATCAGTATAAAGTCAGTTTTAAACCAAATCCCACAGAAAAAATGAAATATCTTTTCCATTATTAGATTCACTGACATTTTTATAAATGCTCTAGAGATATGCTGCAGTGATATCCAGTTCTATTATTTATTTATTTTGCTGAAAAGTTATTGCAGGGCTTCAGAAAATAACAGAACATACCAGAACTATGCTTCATATTATGCATAATGTAGAAAATTGCCAAGCTTTTATAAAATACGTTTATCATTTCTTAATGTGATTTATTTGCCTTGTGTTTAGACTATTGCATGGTAAAGTTTATTTTGTGCATATACTTTTTATTTTACTAATATATTACAAGCCATATCTCAATGACCCCTGTACATTTTTCATGCTGTCTTACTCCCAATGGCCTCTGTGCATGTAAGTAACCTGTCAAGTGACAATGCCTCTTTATTTGCTTCTTACTGTTTCCTTTCAAGAACTCCTTTTCTTTTATTAGCTAGTAACACAGAAGCATTGAAGTTCAGTCTTTAAGTGTGCCCTGTATTCCTCCTATCTTTGTATATTAAGAAATTAATCGTTTTTCTTTTGCATTTGAGAACCCCACAATCATTAGTTAAATCCATGTAGACTGAGACACATCTCCATGCTACTTCTTTGTGATGAAGGCATTAATATGTTTAATATTAATATGTCTGATGTTTGTTCCTGTTGTTTGTATCTAACATAACGTGGTTTTGTTCAAGAAGAAAATAAAGGATTGATTTTTTTTTTAATTATTATTTTTCAATGGAGAAAGAAACTTGCAGGCTTCAGTGGTTAGCATGGTAAAGCTGCTTAGTGTGTTGTAGATCCTTATTACAAAATGAATTACTGATTTGTTTAAATACTGTGAAGTTGAAAAAAAAACAAGAGTAAGAATTGCATTGTGGAATGGAAGTAAAATAGGAGTAATTTCTTGCTTGTAGTATTTGGGGAAAGGTTGAAAGAGATTCTTCTTTAGGATGAAATTCAAAATGCTTCAAATGGACTTGGAAGTTTTCATATCTGAGTCTTTTCAAGGCCTTAAAGAGTTGTCAGTTGGCTGATTTGTAATTTTAACAAATTGAAGCCATTGGACTTTTTCAGATAAAAAGACTGCCATCAAATTAAAAAACTGAGAGATAACCACACTCATCCTAAAAGATGGATTGGATATAGCTGAGGTGGATAAACAATCTTAAGACTTGGAAATTCACAGATATTCCATGGTTTGGATGGAGTCTCTCCTCCTTCCTTTTCATAGCGTACAAAAATACAGAACTGAAAACTCATGTTCGTTATTCTGCTCCGCAATTGCTGGTTGCTGTAATCTTTACAAATATAAATAACTCCCTCCTGGCTGCTTCTTTCATTAGAATTCAGCAGGAGTTACCAGAGATGATGTGTTACTGGGCACAGGAGGAATAAGCTGTTATTAATGAACAAAACTTGGTTTGTCAATCATTATATTCCCTGGCAATTGGCAACAGATTGATAGGCATGATGGAATTCATCCAATTTCAACTGCAGTTGAAATGATATCTGAAATAATACTTTTACAATTTTTCCCTAAATATGGTCGAGGTTCTTTTCTGTAATGCCATCACTTTTCATTAGAATTCTTCATTCTGTCACAAGTTTTAAAAGCATGTCAGTTTAATTACCACGTGTGTTTAAAGAGAACTCTAATTACAAGTAAATGGTGTGGTTTGAAAGAATAAATACCACAAAGTATTAACACTGTGCATTTCTCATAGATATTGTTAAAACATTATTATGAAAGTATCTCTATCTTCAGTGTAAATAGATGTTCTCATACTGTATTCATGTTGGTCACTGTGTACAGATTTTTCTTTAGTATTGCTATTTCTTAGGAATGCAAACGTGAATGGCATGCTGTTATAGCTGATTTTTGTGGTCTGCTGAACACTGCATGAAAGGACATGCAAACTTTGCTGAGCATCTCAGTAGCTTTGTTACTGCTCTTAACAGTTTTTTAAATGAACACTCTTGTTAAAATTGCATAAGGAATGAATGGTTTTATTTTCCATAACATGTTACTTTGTATTAGGAACCTAAAACTAGATAAAATTTTAATTTGTAGCAGAATTAATTGCTACCCTTCATATGCCATTTTTTTCTTATCCTTTGGGGTTTTCTTTTGTGTTTTAGTGTTTGATCAATTAGATCTCGTCACATATGAAGAAGTAGTAAAGCTGCCAGCATTCAAAAGGAAAACACTAGTCCTACTAGGTAATTTTCAGTTTTTCTGAACATAGCATCATAGTTTTGAAGCCTTTCTGGTGGAATATTTCTAAATGCTTTTTTTGTGTTGTGGATCAGGTGCACACGGTGTCGGAAGAAGACACATAAAAAACACACTCATCACAAAACATCCGGACAGATTTGCTTACCCCATTCCTCGTGAGTAGCAGGGTTCCATGTGCTGCAGAATTGTTTGTGTCCTCCTTAAAAACACCCCCCTTGTTCTACTGCCTGTGTTCAGCTCAGCTGAGACAAATCCTGCCTTAAAGGTGGGAGCTGTGTAGGACTGGGTGTGTTTCTTTTGCTTTTTCAAAGGGCAGGGTGGAAAGTAACACCACTTTTGCATCAAATGTTCCTTAATATTCACAAAACTTCTTGTTAGACATACTTCTCTCTACCCCAAATGTTTGTTAATTTAGAATGACGGATAAAAGATTTCTCATTTTTAACTGTGTATAAATCCCATGAGAAGAAATATGAGCTGGATTTAGAGGAAACCTTTAGTGTTTTAATTACTTCACGCAGCCAAGTCTTAAGGACTGGTATTGCACTAAAATAACTTCCAAGTTTCCAGAGATGATGCTAAGTGAAAGAAAACACAGTTAATTTCACTACTTATTAGTGGTCTGTTATGAAGAGCACAGAGGTGTTTTCCCTTCATGATAACAATCTCTGTCAATACCCTGCAGGAACTGTACATCCCATTACATGATTTCTTGGAGATGCATCCTTTTTCCTCAAGCTAAGCACACCAAAACAAGCACATCCAGCCCCTACCTGTCCACTCTATCTCAGAAATGCCATACATGGCTCAGCAGTGACACTCATTTAATTTTCTTCACAGAAACCACCTGTTTTATCTGCAGGTGCTTTTAAAATGGACTCACCTTTGCCATGATGAGCATGCCTGAGGTTGCCTGCACTAGGGTCCTGCTCTGTGGAAGCATTGAAATTGTTTCACTGGTTTTGTAAGACTAAAAAGAGGCACTTTCTGCATTCCTTTACAAAACCATGGTGTAGTAGGTGGCTTTTGAGATGGGCCTTAAATTGGGTGAGGAGTTTGGGAGAATGTTTTATGAAGAAATTACCTGCATTCTGAAAACCTGATCAAAAAGATCAGGTCACACGCAATGGCAGTTAATTCTAAAGATTAGAAGTAGGCCATACTTCTCTTACCATATAAGTTTGTAGAAGCCATATTCCAAAAGTATGTTATTCCTAAGTAGCTTCCACCTCTCTTGACCACAGGTAATGAGGTTTTTAAACTGCCTTCTCGACTTATCCTGTTCACACTCATAAAAGCCTCATAATTTTTTTTTTTTAAAAGGAAAATGCAGAAATGTTTTTAGGACAGAAGAGGATTTAGGAGAAATATGAGTATCTTAAGTTCAGTAGACCCTAGGGACTCTACTTCTGCTTTTCCCAACACATATCCCTCAAACTCCTGCTTTTCCCTGTCATTCTGACTGCCTCATACTTCCTTGCTCTATATGATTTGACACTGATTTATTCAGTGAATAAGTATTGATAAACAAACAGAAAAAAGAAGCCATATATAACCTTAATATTGCTTCTGTACTAAAATATTCTGTATTTTCAGACACAACCAGACCTCCAAAGAAAGATGAAGAAAATGGCAAAAATTACTACTTTGTATCACATGACCAAATGATGCAGGATATATCAAACAATGAATATCTGGAATATGGCAGCCATGAGGATGCAATGTATGGGACAAAACTGGAAACAATACGAAAGATCCATGAGCAGGGACTAATTGCAATACTTGATGTAGAACCTCAGGTAACTAATTAGAAGTGTATAAAAATGGGACTCATCACAAATCCTTCAACGTTATTTCATTTAGATGTTTTTATTGATTGCAGATTAGGTAAGTGCTGCATAAAGTGATTTGAAACAAAAGTCCTTGAACCAGCAAGATATCAATCTGTAGAATTCTGGTAATCATACAGTTACAAGAACACAGAGGAGAAAGAAAAATCAAGCTTTCAAGAAACACTAGTAGTTTATTTATTCATTGTAGAAAATCTGTGGAAAATTCTGATACATTTCCTTTGAAACATCTGTGTAGTCATTACTTTCAATTCACAGGGATGTGTTTATATGTTTTGTTAAGTGAAACAACATGAATATAGACAATTGTGATGTTTATATTATTCTAGCAGATGGAAGGAAATGGGAGGAAAGACAAAATTGTGACTTGGTGTTATCTACTTAAATTTGCTGATTTGTTTCTTCTTTGTGAATGGATTCAGGAAGTTCAAATTTTTCTAAGAATTTCACAACAGAAATGAGATACCTGACTAAATTTTTTGAGACAGAGTATGATGGTGTGGTGTTCTGAAAAATAAACCCCCACATTTAACAGCGTTCAGGGGGAGCAGAATTTATAGTTAGTTCAAAGGGAGCAGCTGTTAACAGCAAACTCTCCTGATAAACTTTTTCAATATGCATTATTCAAGAGCTGTACAGTTCTCAGAAGTGATTTTAATCTTTGTTAGAATGTATTTACATTTGGTAACAGCTGCCTTTGCCACATTTCCTCCAGCTCATGTCCAGCAAGCCACTTTCCTAACCAGCTTCCTCATTCATCCATATCAGCTCATTGAGGCCAACCTCTTTGTCTTATACCACTTGCCTGTTTTCCCTCAGGCACTCTTAGTTTTATGGGTTTTCTTGCATTTCACTTATGGGGTTTGTCTCTTGTTTGGAGCAGGTTGGCAGAGGTGATTCCTGTTGGTGGCTTTCAGGCAGCAGAGATGAAAACCTTTTAGTTCAGGGAAAGGGTGGATTGTGGGGGTTTTGTTTTGTTGGTTTATTTAGAAAGAAAAAGCTTTGGAGAAGACAGGAAATCAAAATAGCAAAACCAGAGTGATGTTTACTAGTCTGGCTTTATCTTGTCCATCCCTTTGAGTTCAGCTGCAATGTTTAACCCACTGTCCTGCACTTCATCAAGCCTGGATTTGGACAGAGTTTCACATATGGCAGCTCTTTGTCACTCAGCTCATTAAGGCAACTCTTTAATGAGAACTCTTCTTTTTTTGCACAGATTTGGTTCAGGAGATTGGAGCTGTATTTAGTGATAAACACTTCAAACTTCTCACATCAGATTTTCATTTTTTTTAAAATAATAATTTTATAATAATAAAATTTATATTTAATCAATATTTTAAAACACAGTTGGCTCTTTTCCCTATTTATGGCAGGACAGATTTTTTTTTACATGGCATTTCATCAGCCAGTTTAAATGTAAACAGAATTCCACACTCTTTAACACTGTATGGGGAGAGGTACTCTGAAAATGCTAAAGCCTTTACTGTCTCATAAACTCATTTTAATTAAGGATAAATATATGTTTTGACCACCATAAATGTAAAATAATAAAAAAAGTTATGTGTCTGTATTACTAAGGTCTTAACTCCTTAACTTAACATTTTATTGTTAAAATTGTTAAAAACAAGTCCAGCATTGTAGATCATGAATTTGTGTCTTTTGCTTGTGTGACTAAACTTACTTCACATTGATTGTTGGAGGTTTCCTCTAAAGTATCTGATTTTTTTTCCTCTAGGCATTGAAGGTCCTGAGAACTGCAGAGTTTGCTCCTTTTGTTGTTTTTATTGCTGCACCTACGATTACCCCAGGCATTAATGAGGTATGGCACGTGCAGTGTGATGTCTTGGCAGAGACAGAATTAAGGATGAGATTTAAATGTGCAGACCAGACTCTTTAATTGTTTCCTTGTCTGTAAATGAAGAGGCAGAAAAATAATTGAACAACAGCTTTATTAAGTTGATTTATTGTTTATGAACCGATGATTCAAAATGTGGGCTTCAAGAGGAAGGATCCATGTGCTGTGTTCTAAAAGTACATATTCTTTTATTTCATTCCCTGCTCCAGCTCAAAGATCCATTTCCAAATCATTGGCACAAATTACTCAATTGTGAGTTGCAATGCCAACACTGATCCCACCTTTAGCATTTTCCCTGCACAGCAAATATGCATCAAAAATAGAAATACTCATTTTGACAGCTTCCCTCTAAGAATTGGAAGTTTTGACCCAAGGGGTAGTTGCTTGTGGAACAATGCTGAGTATTCATAGAGGTCCACATCATACATTTCCTGCTTAGTTTTTATAGGATATGTGCTCTGCAGATTGCTGCTGATTACAAGGATACCAAGCAATTCTGGATTTAGCTGACACAAAGGCAAACTCCATTTTCACAAGTGCTTAATTTGCTCAGTCTTCCTTAAACCGTGATACTAAAGTATTTAATTGTTGGATTTGATCGTGAATCTGTTCCAAATATCCTAGATTTCTCCTTGATCATCAAAAGACAGAGTCAGAAGCCGTGTCACTACAGCAGGTTTCTACAGAAATGTAATTACAATATCATAAGCATGAAGCTATGACATCACTGTAGAGACTTGCAGGAAAAGAAGGAGCAAGACAAACATATTTAAATGCAAATACCCTGAATGATTATTCAAACCAAAAGTGGAAAGTGAAGAATTTTGGCCTCTAGCTGAAATTTTACTGACAACTGAGACATTCTGCTAGTTCACTATGACACTTCAGTGAGCTACTTTAGCTCTAAATTGGAATTTTGTCAATTTTTAAGCACCAGTGCTAGAACAAGCAGTGAAAGAAGGATAGGAAGGGGAAGAAGGCTCTGTTCACTTTCACAGCATTAAGTTATGTCATTTCACTGTGTCTTAGTGACCCACACCCTAATGGTACAACCCAAGAGTAAAAACAAAGCTCTCTCATAGCACAGCACAATTTGCCATGTTAGTGAAGTGATACTTGATGTAACTGCTGGTGTGATACTGTGAATCTGTACAGTCTTGATACAATATTAGAATTTTGTCATCTACTCTAAATTTTCCTTTGTGTAAACAAATAGCATTGCATCAGGTACCCTGTAAAATTATATCATTGCTCGGGCTTGTTGCCTTCATACCTGTCTCAGCTCCCAGATAGCCTTTCCTTGGCCTTACTCACTTGCCAGTGGTACTTAAATTTTAATCTTCCAGCTGTAGGGTATAATACAGACGTACTTGAAACAGTTCATATGAGGGAGAAAATGTTTTTCCTCAAGAAGAACAGAAATGTGCCTTTTATAGTAGTGGTAGGGAAGTACTTTATTCCAAAGAATTAATAGAAGTAAACTATTGTCTTCTAAATATTTGCATTCATGTTGTAAAACCTGTCTTTATTTTAAACTCTTGTGACAAAAGTCTCTGTGCCTGCAGGGTTTCACTCAGGCACATGGATTGCTGAGCCAAGGCCACACTTACAAAACATGTTAATTTATTAATCAATTAAAGTTAAGGAAAGGGAGGGGCAGGCTATGGGAATAGCAACAGACCTTACCCAAACACAGGATCTTGTTTTCCAAGGTTTTCTGGGCAGATAAGCAGTGTGTCTGTGTGGTAGCAGCCTGCAGGGCAGCAAACAAGGGTGAGGAGTGCGTGTTTCCTATTTCCCATTCATGCTTCCTTTTTGAAAGGTTCATTTGCATAATGAGTGTCCCTTTCTGTTGGCCCTCTTGCCCTGCCTCATTTTATTTTACTTGCACTTTTTGAGAGCACTTCTGTAAATGACTGTCCTTTTTTCCCTCCCCACGTTTTTCTTAAATTTCATCTTTGCTTTTCTTTTCATTTTCCTGCATTCGTACTAATTGTACATAGCTGCCAAAATGGTGCAGAAAACTGCCTGTAAGTACCAGCTAGGAGCTCACAAGGTAGTCCTGGTTATTGCAGTAGTTCTAGAATGTAGATATGCTTGTTCCCATTCAACATTACTTTTGCCATTAGAGTCAAAATTTAATGTAATAATGACTTCTGATATCTGCACTAAAATTATCTGCTGGTGAAAAAAGATGCTATGGAGTAAAATTTCTGCTCTTAAAGAAGTATATCTGAACTCTGTGGTAAAATCAGTGCAGAGGCCTGATCCCAAGAGTGTCTCTCTTGAGACACTTTAGCCTGTCAAAGACCCCACAAAATGTCGCAATAATTGAGGGCCACACAGGCAGGAGACAAAATCCTGTCCTTTCCAGTGAATGTAGCAATGCACTGTGAGCAGTCCTGCAAAGCACAAGAGTAGTGTAAATCATACAGGGAATCTCCCAGAGTGCACCCACCTGTCTAATCACAGAGGAAGCTTAAATCAGATGGTCATTGTGCTAAAACAGAGAGGAGAGAGTGTATCAGAAAACCCTGGGGTAGTTCCTCTTTCCTCCAGCTGTTCCTACCTTCATTGCCCAGACAGCAGCAAAGAGATCACAGGCTCCATTTGTTTGATGTAAACCTTATTGAGCCAAATTCTTCAGACTTTTAGCTGTGCTTCCTCCCTTCCTACAGCCAAAGAATAAAAGGAATTTTTCTTAGGAAGTGTGGAGCTCACCAGCTGTTTAAATTGCAAATTTCTTTCTGTTGAAGCAAAACTGGCAAAGGCCTGATGGTGTTTACACATTGTCCACAGCCTTAGAAGGGAATATTAGTAATTTGTTGGGCTGGTCTTTGATTGTCACTAGTGGCAGCTGTTTGTCCTATGTTCTTTCAGGCCAAAAAACAACCCAGCCCTCAGAGAGTGAAGATGCCCCTGGTGGCTTTTTATGTCCATGGGGGTATTTCGTGGATAAAGCCATGTTTCACTCCTTTCAGCTGCAATGGAAAAGGAGAGACTAGAATAGGAAGAAAAAGTCTGATCCAATAATGGAGACACTGCAACTAGACCCACATAAAATTCCTATTTCACAAGAGCTGAGGGAAGAAGAAAAGGCAGATGTGCTCACAAATGTTAACTTCTCAAGTTGTGGCCATTCATTTGTCTGTCTGCAGCTTGCTGAACATTTTGATAAATATCTTATTTCTTGACAGTATTGAGAGCACAACTGCTGAAGAATTTCCTTCTTGGAACATAATCTGGGATGTTCAGTATGCAAAATTTATTTAAGGCATTTTAGTGAAATTGAGAGGAACTTAATACAGCAAAACTTTGATTACAGCTAGTTTCCAGGATGAGTTTTGGTATTTAAGTCTTGCAGACTCAGAGAAAACAGCCAGTGTACATGTACAAATAGATACTCTGACAAACACAGGTGAAATTTGGTCCCCAAATGAAACAAAAATAAAGAACTTTAATCTCTTTTCCTTTTGATGAGCTTAGAAAAGTTTGAGCATATTTGAAACTTGTTGCAGTGGCCTATCCCAAAGTTATTACTGCCCATAAAAGCATATAAAAGAAGTAATGATTTACATTTCCAAAAGGATGGGAAATCTAAATATTCCAAAATACAGACCACTTTGATCCTAATAAAGTTGGATCTAGGAGAAGCTAAGTCAGAAAAACAGTGAAGTTTAATGAATTTTTGAAACACTCAGTTTTGTGGAATCTGTGTGTGCAACATAAACTTTGCCAGTTGGATTTTTTTTAAGATGAGATAGCTGTAAGATTTTCAGATTTTCATTATCAGTCACAGTAAGATAGAAGCTCTAGTGAGAAAAGTCCATACCTGTAGGTAAAAGTAACATAGATGGGAAATCTGAATAATAATTCAAAATCTCCATAAGGACTTAACAGTTCTATGGCTTCCAGGGGCTTTTCAGGTACTGTTAGCCCTTTGTCATGAGATCAAAACTCTTTTCAAGGTGCAATATGATTTGGACGAGACAGACTATAAATACAAAATTAATCTTAGCTGGATACATTTAAAGCACTGAAAATACTCTGCATGACAAGTTATTTACCTTCCTTTGTTATGTTAATTTAAGCAGGAAGGGCTCAATGCTCAGCTGATGCAAATGAGTCTCTTTTGGAATCTGTGAGAAACTGGAAGTTTACCTAACTAGGGTTTTGGCTTAAAGACACTGGGCCATATGAAATATTCCATAAAAATATTTCACACTAGTATTGATCCACATGGTTCTGTTTGTTATTAGCATAAATTGAATTTGCACACTGGAATTTTCTACAGAAGTTCCAGGAGTTGCTGGTGGTACAAAATGGCCCATGCAGGGAGCATCCCTTGTACAGAAATGCATGTGAGGAGAATTTGCCTGACTTGGAATGAAATTTGTAATAATTTTCAAGTGAGGACAACCACACCACACAGCCCCCTCCCCATATGAGGCTGCAGCTTCAGGACAGAAGCAGAACTGTAACTTTGGCAGAGAACTTCTCCAGAAGTGGCTGGTTTCGTTGCTGCAGGGAAGGAGAAATGTCTCAGAGCAGGTTGTTTCCTTGAGGGGACCTGAAAGCTGCTGTTCCACAGCTGCTTGTCACTGTAATTACAAATACTTGGGAAGCTGAAACAGAAAAAAATAAAGGTGGAGGTCATCTTAACAGCCAGATAAAAATCTGTTTCCAGAATAATTCCTAGTGAAAAAGCTGTGGGCACTGTGTCTGTACTTCTGCAGCCTAAAACTGTTTAGAAAAGTGTATCTCAGCTGATTGATGGAGTAGAGTGAGCCTATGGATACTGCAGAGCAGCAGGAGTCATTTTGCACCATATCCACCCCAAACCTGTGGGACAGGAAGGACTTGATTGCTTTCCTGTGGCTATTTCAGGGTTCCTGAAAACACCAGATGATGGGTTTGTTGGTTTTTTTAATTCAGAAGGAAATTTGCAGGAAGAGAATTCAAACTTACAATTGCTGCAGAGCCCAGGGAAGAAGCCTTTTGCATCCAGTTCCCTCAGGCAGGCAGACCTCGCTTACAAAGGTCTGATTTCCAGGCTGCCTTGTTCATCTCCAGCATCTCCTGGAGGAGAGGGGTTGGAAATGCCCTGCTCTGAGATGGAAACCACAGAGTGACGTGGAGTGAGAACTTCCTTATCAGTAAATTGTCGTTAAAGGAAGCAGACCCAGGAGATTGGTGTAGAACAGAGAAAACATTACCAAAACTGGGAACAGCTGATACCTGACAGACAGCCTCTCCCCTTCCTCCTGTTTCTCATGTTCTCACTGGGACACAGGCCCAATAGCTCTTACTTGTGCACCTTGTCTGATTTATTCACATGTGGTCTCCATTGCTGCTTTTCCAAGCTTCCATCCTCTACCTTGCTTTTTTAACTCTAGAGCTGTGTCTTGTCTCCAAGAATGTCAATAACCAAGTGCTGTTTGAGTGTCAGCTTCCAGAGGGAAACTGTGCCCTTTCTTCTGTGTGATTCCCATAGCTGTAGGTGGGAGAGCTAAGGCACCTCGACTCCCTGAGGCCTTTTTTGCCCATTTCCTTCTCAGTTGAGAAGCTGTTGTGGAAGAGCACAAAACAATCCAACTTTTCTTTTCTCCCGTTTTCTCTCTGGGCCGCCAAACAGGATGAATCCCTTCAGCGCCTGCAGAAGGAGTCCGAAATCTTACAGAGAACATATGCACACTACTTTGACCTAACAATTATCAACAATGAGATTGATGAAACCATCAGGCACCTGGAGGAAGCCATCGAGCTCGTGTGTACAGCCTCCCAGTGGGTCCCGGTCTCCTGGGTCTACTAGGCCGCGAATGAGAGAATTGAGGAGAAAAACAAAAACCTGTCATTACTGGGAACCACCTCATACATGGAAAACCTCTTCGTTATTGACCTTGTGTCAACAGGTCTTGGCCCCTAGAGACTACCTAGATGTAGTGTGACCTAAAATATAATTATTGTCATGTCCAAATAGATAGGAGGAGGGGGAAAAAGATTAAACACTAATTTAAAGAGACAGTATCTTTTTTTTAATCATTTCTCCTAAACTTTAATAAAATGTATCTTTAAATATATGTACTACTCAGTCCTTTGGAATGTTATATTTTTGGAAATCATAGCTTTTTATTTCAAGGGCCCCTAAAAACTGCACAAAATAGATGCTGCTTTCTATAATCTATTTTAATAGTAATAATAATATGATTCTGTTACCTTAACTTGGGGGTGGAACACTACATTCTTTTTAGAGTCTGATTTTATGGATTGGAATACTTTGCTTTCTTTTATTTATTTGAAGTAATTAGTCTAGTGGTTACAAAACAAATTCATCAATTTTAAAGGCCTTTCTTTTCCGCGCTTTTGGGGTTTTTTTTTCTCTCCTAGGATAGTATTTTTAAGTACTTTTGTGTAACATCCAGATAATGTGATACTGTCTCTTTGAAGAACTCTGTAAAAGTTTTAGAAATTTGAAATTGGGTCTTGACTCTTAATGCATGTGGACAGTCGCAAGCGTTCATGCCGTTGGTGTATCTGTGTTGATAAAACCTGTAATCTACAGCAAAGTACATTCCGTTCATGGGAACACGTACCCAAGGGAATAAAGCAAAATATTATTCTGACTAAGTTGTAAACCTATGCACATCCCTTGCATTTTGGGCAACTTTATAAAAAAAAAAAAAAAAAAAAAAAAAAAAA